GTGAGAGTTGAATACTATTAGTAGACCTCACTTTTCAGTGTTTTTCGCATAGCTTTGCCTCGCAAAAAAGCATTATCATCCAGAGTTTTATTTCAAGGAATTTTGCAAACATTTCTCACCATTACAACAGCTAAATGGGTTTTTTATCATTCAATGTCTAATTTCGCCCTTATTTACTCTTTATATTGATGAAATCCAGCCTTTTTATCGCAGATTGTTATCGTCAATATAGAAAAACTGCTTTACACAAAATCTCTTAATAAATTCATATTGAAGTACCTTTCATTTAATTTCAGAGGCGAGTGTAAGGGATTCGTAAGTTGTCCTCATTGGAAACTGTATGGCGACTAACTGAGAGCTGCGATTGTAGGTTTGTGCGAATGGATCTTCGGCGCACTGACCTGTGACCCCGATGAATCCTTACTGAACTTTGTTCGTCAATTGACGGTGTCTCGAGGACCTATTCGCACAAATCTACAATCACAGCTCTAGGGCAATCTCCCTACAGCTTCCAGTGAGGACAACTTACGAATCCCTTCAACCCGCCTCTTCAAACGAAATGAAAAGTACTCCAGCCCTTGTCAATGCTTTATCATTTTATCATTGTTCTATTTCTTTCTCAAAATATCACCAGCGACTCTTGTTAGATCGATTAATCTACACTGTTGTAATCTGATTCCAGAGCACGTTTTTATAAGAGATTGTTTAGTATGCTCCCTTCGGTGCCGCAACATTCTAATTTATTAACATTAACCAATTAGGTAAGCGACAGTTTGGCTACCGTGAGCCTATTTTCATGATTTTCTTCTTCTTCATGTCCATATCTCGCTGAAGCTGGCATGCAGATTGGTTTACATGGAAAACGGAATGTTTATTTATGATTGTTAGTAGATATTTGTTTGAGAAACCGGTCGGTCGGGTTGCACCTTTGAAGGTATTTTTTTGGCGAATTCTCATTCACACAATTACTTTGTCGGAATGATTAGTTTCGAGTTAAATGAAAAATATTCTATGCAAATCGCCACCGTTTGTGCACGAAAGATGGGAATAGATCTCTTCCTTCGTCTTTTGGTCGATTGGTTAAGGTTGCCGCCGGTATACAGTAGTTTTCTTGCGTAGATGAATTATTTTAACTATTAACATATATAATGTGTATTAATGATATATTATACATAAATAAAATATCTACTAAATAAGTAAATAAATATTATTATATAAAAATAATCGAAAAAATATTATATTGGAATAAAATATTTAATATATATATATAATTTTATATAAAAATTCAATAAAACGATATTAAATTCTAATGAATCATCCTGCCCGAAATTTTCTCCATTTCTTTATTCTCTTACCTTGGAATTGTAAATCTATTCTTTTTTTTACAAAAATGTTCTTTACCCATAGTGCCGAGCATTCAGATGAAAGCATCCTTTCGTCTGGAGATCAATGCTAACTCTTCTTCGACACCCCTTTTGGCTGGCAATGGTTCTCTGCCATACCCACCATTGCCAATCACTCTGGGTCGGTTAAGCTTTCACGGTTACAATCATCGTGCTGGCCTCAGCGATGTCGGAGTCTCAGCCGTAGCAGAACCGGCCAGTCTGACTGTGCGTGCGGTCGTTCGAGAAGGAGACAACGTCACTTTTTTCTGTTTGATGCAGGCAGCCCCTCCAACCACAGTTGACACCTACCCATTTGACCAGACCAAGGAAAATGATCCTCGATTTTTAAGAGATCGCAAGTTTGGTAGGTTTTTTCTTAGAGAGCCAATTGAGGCTGGCTCGAATAAACAGACGTATATTCATATCGCAGCCTTTTCATTAAATTCTATCCATTTTTCTCTACTCCATAACAATTCACAATTAACCTTGCACATGCAGATGTCAATGTAAGCTACATATACATTATACTCTTATATAGACTACTTTTGTAATACGCGAATTACCATTTTCGTAAATGATCTTGCTTTAGTAATGTCATGTTAATCTCATGAAAAGTAGAGCGAAAGGAATTTGTTAATTGAACCTGTAGAAAATCGAAAATGGATTGCTTTGGCGGTGTTGCTGTTGATTTGTGCGACGATCTCCTCGGTGACCCGATGAAGCAGTATTTAGTTATTGTCTGTCATTCAGCATCATAGCCAGACACTACTGCATTCCTACTTCCTATAGCCAACCTCATATTTCGGCCTTAATGATACATTCTATGGGTTATTGTAACACACACAACCTTCCATTTTGAAGGAAAAGTTGGTCGAAAAGAACTCGTGTAAAGGTCTCATCGGAGGCCGGACGAGGCTCGCCGTCCTGCGATTCCGATGGACCTGTACCAAGCTTTCTTCTGTATCACGACAGGCAGCATCAAAGCAGGAATCCATACTTTAGGAAATAAAGAAAAAATAGACTAAATCATGAGAGACTGTGGCTGGCTGTAAA